GAGGAACGATCGGAGCAAGTGGAGACGAGATCCATTCTCGGCTGCGAGCGAGGGGGGAAACGAGAAGGAGAAGGCCTTCTCAGAAGGTTGCGGAACTTCTCATTGCGGAACTTCTCAGAAGCCATCGCATTTCCTGAGAAGTTTGTTGTGTCTTCGGGGAAGGCCTAGAAAACTGTTCAGAGAAGGCCAGGGGATTTCAGAGCCCTCTGAGAATGCCCGCCCCTTCTCACTTCCCCTCCGGGCTCGCCGCCGATATTCCTCACACGAGGTAGGTCTCGGAGGAGGTGGGGGACCAGGCCAGATACATGCGCGAAGGCCGTCGAACCACGACTAAAATTGGGCGCCAGTGGGTACGAGCGACAACACAGCAGCTGCCTAGCCGCCCAGGGATGCACCGCATGGATTCTTCAGAGCCTGCTCCCCATTTGCAGCCTGAACCGTGAGCGTACTCATCTCATGCTTCTCGGGCGTGTGGCAATGGGGGGTGACCCGAATGGGGGGTGAAGAAAAGGACCCCAAAAGGGCCCTTGAGGGTTTAGGGCCCCTTTGGGGCCCCTGCCGGCTCCAAACGGGGCCCTGAGGGGTCCCTTTAGGGCCCTTCTCTGCACCCGTTGTCACCCGCCCGAGCCTCTGACGAGAAGTGCCGGGTGGCAGGCTCGGTCGACTCCTGGACGGTACGCCCAGGTGCTTCACACGTGGTGCGGCCAGCCGGGAGCGTTCGACGTGTCCTCTTTCGAGGTCACGGTCGAAATAACCAGAGGCCTCGACCTCCACAGGAGAGCTTCTTGGCACACCGCTGCGCCTTCTCGAGTCCGCCCAGGATGGTGCCCATTCTCTCTGTCGGGAACAGCATCAGGAATACCTCGGACCAGTTAGGTCTTGCACCAGGCCGCGCCCATCCTACAGAGCCCGTGGGTAGCCTGGAACCCCTATTTCCCGTTCTGTTTGCTTAGCCCCGCAGCCCTAGAATGGTGCCAGACCACTGGGGTCCGCCCCACCCTTCTGATGTGGTGAAATATCTTCTTCAGGCCACTGAGGGAGTGCTCATTGGTGTAGACCTCCGCCTCAGCTCCTAGACCTCTCCGATCCCCCGCGAGTCGATGACGAGGAACGAACTCCCGAAGAACAGGAAGCGGGCGACCTCGGAACGATGCGGGCTCCTCCCCCTCGTCGTTCTCTCGGCGATGCGGCCTGCGATGAGATCCGTCGAGCCTCCTGTCAGGGTCCGCCACGAGCCGAAGAGCCTCCGAGGGCACACCGTGGAGCGGAACCGACTTCCGCCTCGGGGCCTTCGCGAGCAGCGCAGACACCTGTGCGAGATCGCCCCTCCCCTCTACGCGGGCGACATTGTCGTACCCGAGCGGAGGTGGAGGAGGAAGGGGCTCGTAGGCAACGCTCTCGAGATTCCCGGAACCCAATCTCTGTAGCTTGGAGGCCACTGCTTGTCCCGGCCAGCGAAGAGCAGACCCGGCACTTCAGCTTTTCGGGGAACGTGCTCCTCAGGAGCGTTGTAGCGACGTTTCTTTCGCGCTTCAGCTCTTCGGGGAACGTGTTCATCAGGAGCGTTGTAGCGACGTTTCTTTGGGCCTCCGCACTGGCCCGTCAGCAAGTGCATGTTTCCGAGACTTCCTTTGCCCACGCGATCGCCTCGACGGGCAAGGGCGGGACGACCTCTTCGAGCCGATGCCTGCGAAGCTGACGGGGCTGCCTAGACACTCGTGCGTCGTCGCCGCCAGAGCCACGAAGAGAACGCCGGAGTGCTATCAGCCGAGATCTCTCACAGCTGCGAGTGCCTCAGCTCCCTCGTCGCGCTCCGACTGCCTGCCGAGGTGCTTCTTCTCGGCCGGCGCACGCACTCGTGCGATCCACATCTGCCGGGCGTTGTCTGGAGCGGGCGCACTCACCAAGAGGCCGCGAAGGTCGAGGCCCTCGGACTGACTCTCCAGATCTCGAAAAAAGTCCGACGCTCCAGCTCCCCGCTTCACCGCCATCGCTAGCTCGTGACAGTCCCACTGAGCCACCTCCGAACGTAGCCACGACATGAGCAGCTCATTGTCGGCACGAGACTCTGGTCCGCACGCCGAAGACCTTCACACCGCTTTACCGAGTCGCACTGCCACTCGAATACCGCCACGTAATCTACCACGCTCGGATTCTTATGACCGAAGAACGTATCACCAATGCTGTAGTCCATGGACACAACGCGCCTCGCAAATCTTTCAAATATGTCAAATATTTTGCAACCTGCATAATATTTCCCTGCTCACCACATCTGTGCACACCCAGCGCAGCTGACCTAACAGGAACCAATCCTCTACCTGAAATACTTTGAAGCCCAAGCGAGTCGTTCGAGTCGAAACCGAAGAAGACAAGTGATCGAGCACATGGCCACGTTAAATTTTTCTAGGGCCAGGAACCAATTCAATCGACTGTGGTCCAATATTGCCCAAAGTGGACATCGCCACTGGATAGTATGCCTTCCCTTGTTCCCGATGGTCGGGGTGGGAGGTACGCCATGGGCAGCAGCAGGTCAAATCGCCCCGACCTCACTCGATGGAGCGTCACACGACCCTACAGGCGCCTTGGAACTGGGGAGAGTCAACTATGTGCTTCTGCCGAAACTTTTTTCTCAGGAGCAAGGTGAGGCCGCGCGACGAGTTCACGCGCCTCCCTGGGACGAAACCACTCCTCAACGCGATATATGATGCAGTAGGGGGTGTCAGAACCAGCGGAGACTCACGCACACGCTCTCCCGTCGAAGACAATGACACGATGTTAATAACATGTTTGAATTCGTCCGAAATCTCATTCAGTCGCAGCTCATCAGTTACCGCAATACAGTTCCTATGCAGGCACAACAGCATGGCGGCGGCGAGAGAGAGCCGTGGGGCCATCAAGCCCGAAACGTGTCCAGTTTCAGAGTGTGCTGGAGGAGGAGGAGGAGGAGGAGGAGGAGGAGGAGGAGGAGGAGGAGGAGGCGGAGGAGGAGGAGGAGGAGGAGGAGGAGGGTGGAGTGAGGTGGGATGAGTGGCGTCGAGGGGTCAAGAGGGAGGGGGGGAGGAGATGTGTGTGTGTGTGTGTGTTCGCGTGACTAGGGCGGTCGTGGCAGTTCTGAGCTCGATCCCCCGTTGGGCTGGTAATGTCTTGTTCAGAGAACTGGGCCGTTGTCTTGTGGCTGCTTTGGGACAAGTGCTAAAATTTTTCAGCAACTACGTTGATCACCACCCGCCAGTTCACCCCAACCCAGCCCGAGGGCCCAACTTATCCTGGATTCCCAGTAAGCAGGGGGGGGGGGGGGGGCGTCGGGCAGCATTGAAAAACAAAAGAAAACATGTGGAACCCGTACCCCCCCAACCCGAAATCTAGGTCTTCGGGTTAGGTTGGGGTGGCCTGGCAGGTAGTCAGTTGAGCGTCATCCGCGCCAGTGTTGCCGTGGCCACTCGCAGTGCCTCTTGCCGCCTCCTCTCCCCGGCCCCGGGCGCCTGCGCGGGCTGGCCTTGCCCTGCCCTCCTTCTCCTCGGCCTTCTCGGGCCTCGGGAGGCTGCCGTGCCACCTCCGTGGCGGTTGATTTCCGAATCCCCGTACGGCACAGCGGCACAACTCGTGGCCACTCCCCCTTCTCCCCCAAACTCGAAGCTGGCACGCGCAGAGGGGACTGCGGTCGAAGCGCAACTCCTCAGACCCAGCGCCAACTCTGAGCATTGGGGGGAGGGGGAGGCGTTGACCGATGAATGTGGCACGAGTGTTCGCTATTTTTTCCGAGGCCCGTATCCCGATCAATACCCAGTTCGAGTTCGGTCAAGAGTTGACAGCGCTTTGGCTGGTCGCTCCCGCCGCAATGCATTGCGAAACAAAACATACAGGCCCCGGAACAAAGATAGCGAACACTCATGCCACATTCATCGGTCAACGCTTCCCCCTCCTCCCAGTGTTCAAAGTTGGCGGTGGGTTTGACGAGTTGCACTTCGACCGCAGTCTCTTCCGCGCGTGCCAGCTTCGAGATTGGGGGAGAGGGGGAGTGTCCACTAATTGTTTCCATCTACCGTATGCGTCGACAGTGTCGGCTCGGCGATGGCACGATTCTCCAATTCGACAAAGATGGCAATCGTGCGTTCCTTTTGCAGGCTGGCTGGTTTTCTTGTTGGTATCGGGCTCAAGCGACGGGCATCGATGATGTTGATTTGCCTTATGTAGGGGATGCGGGGCCTTGCTTATGTGCTTTGATACAGGTTGACCTGAAAGCCTGAACTCGGTGTCTTAGCAAGCATGCCTGACGTGGTGCGGCAAACTTCCCTGTGCGCGTTGTCTTTTCGAACTGGTGAATGTTGATGAATGCATGTTGCATGTTTTCTTTCACTTTGGCAATGGCACGGTTATCAGCTCATCCAGTGCGCGTGGATACGTGCACTATTCCAGCATTGCTCGGGCTTCTAAGCCGCAAGTATGCTTGTGTGTATGTTGTTCGTGCTTGTCGTGTCTGTTCTGCGGCTTTGTTCCACTCGACCGGCTCACGTTATATCGGTTGTGGTAATGTGCCCGCAGCGCGCTGGCGGGAGACGTGCTCTGCGCTCGCCATGAAAGTGTTTGTGTGTGTGTGTGTTTGTGTGTGGCGGACCCAGCATGCACCTGCTGCATTTGATAACCTCGCCGCGGGGGCAGAGCAGATTTGCTTCTGATTTTTTGGGTTTTTCGGTTTTCACATTGCATTTTGGGCGCGCGCCTGGTGCCCAGAAGGATCGCTGGGGGCGACCAGAACAACGCCCGGAAGAGCGCCTGGGAGCGCGCTGGCGCGAGCACCCGGGCGAGCCCAGAAGAGTGCCGAGAACAGCGCCCAGGAAAGCGCCATCAAGAGTGCCAAGAATATGGCCCGGACGCGAATCTGGAAGAGCGCCCGAAAGAGCGCCCGGAAGTGCGCGCAGAAACGACCGATTTTGCGACCGATTTCGCGCCCGATTTCGCGTCCGATTTTTTGTGTGTCGATTCAATATTAAAATAAATCAGACGCAAATCGGATTTAAAATCGGACAAAATTCGGGCGCAAATCGGACGCAAAATCGGACGCAAATCGGACGCGAAATCGGATGCAAAATCGGGAACAAAATCGGGCGCTGATGGTGTCGACCATTTCTGGGCGGATGAGGCAGCGTATCACGGTGCATCATGGCGAGGTCTGGTAGGGTGTGCATTGTGGACCCACGCGCGCAATTCAGCGTTGGAGTTTTAGCGATGTGGCGAACGACAAACTGCGATATCGCGCTGTGTCCAGGTCGGGCCAAATCGACAGAAAAATCAGATCGCCGCTTCTGCGGCTGTTTTTCAGGTGACATTTGAGCTGGCCTCGTCTCGCGTTCCTCCTTCGGCTTTAGTCTGACTCCCCTGCGCTGCTGTGCGCGTGGCCACGACGCAAATTATGTGGGCGTAAATGTGTGTGTGCGTGTGTCCAAGAAGTCTCTACGGCTTCATCGCCTCCAGCTGCCGTGGCCGTAGCATTTGCAGCACGATCGGTGCCTCATCGGCCGCTGACGCGAAAATAACGTGTATGTATGTGTGTGTGTGTGCGTGCACGTAGCTGGGCTTGGACCGACAGCGGTCTTGATTCGGATCTCCTTCATGCAGTTCGCCCTGGCCATCGCTGTAAGAATGGCACTTGAGCGCTTCAGTCGCCTGCGGACGCGTAAGTGTGCGGATGTGTGTGCGTGTGTGTGTGTCTGTCTGTCTGCGTGTTCGTGAGCTGGGCCAGCCCGCTCGCGCTTGACTTGACCTGCGCCGCGCCGCCGTGCGCGTGGCCGCGATGCCAAAAAGGTGTGAGAGTTTGTCGTTCTGCGTGCCTTTGTGTCTGTGTGAGGGGAGGAGTGGTCAATCAGCGTTGGAACCTATCCCGCCGGTGGTGGCTCGTCGACTGGGGCCATCGGCACGTCGGAGGAAAAAGTGTGTGCGTGTTCGTGTGTGTGTGTGTCAGTGGGTGGTGTCGGGGTCTTTCCCCTCCGCTGTCAACCCCAGCGCCGTTCGGCTTTTCGGCGGCGAGCGGGGGAGGGGGGAAGTGAGAAGGAGAAGGCCTCCTCAGAAGGCAGCGGGGCTTCTCAGAAGCCCTCGCGCCTCCTGAGAAGCCTTCCTGCACCTCGGGGGAGGCCCCAGAAAAGACTTCCCTCGGCAGGCCGGGGGACTTCCGAGCCTTCCGAGAAGGCCCGCCACTTCTCGCTCCCCCCCCCCTCGCTCGCCGCCGAGCTTTGATCCACGATGACGATGATGACGATGACGATGACTCGCTTGCACCCCTCGCTCGCCGCCGAGCTTTGATCCACGATGACGATGATGACGATGACGTCATCGTCATCGTCATCGTCATCGTCATCGTCATCGTCATCGTCATCGTCATCGTCATCGTCATCGTCATCGTCATCATCGCCATCGTCATCATCGCCATCGTCATCATCATATCACCGTGTCTACTAAGCCTCTCTGGGCGGGCCGCCGTCGCCGAATCCGTGTTTTGCAAAATGCACCTAGTGTTCGGGACCGCCGCCGCCGCCGCGAGTTTGCTCCGGTTGTGTGTATGATTGTCTTCAGCCCACCCCGCTACCGCGCCTGGGTCGTGGGCCAGAGGCCTCGTCGCGTTTGCGCGCTTGCTCCCTTCGAAATAGAATTTTGTTGTGCAGTTCGTTGCGGTTGCGCGATTGTTCCCTCTGTGTGGGGGGGTTCGGGCCCGGGGGGAGTTTTATGCAGATCTCTGTTGTGTAATTTGTCGCGGTTGCATGGGGAGTTCGGGCCTAGTGGGGCAAGCGACGGCGAAGCGGGATATTTTCCAGACATTGCCTGGACATGTGTTTTGATATGTTTTGGGTGCGCGCTCGTGGGTTGAAGGTTTCGTTTGATTTTGGAAGCGATTGCGGGCGTTCTCGGATAAGAGAACGGAGGGAATTTTGAATTAGAGCGGCGTCGGAGATTCGTATTTCCCGGTCCGACGATGTTCAAGTTAGAAATATATGAACGTGCACGTGCATGCGCGCGAGTTAAGCACGTCTTCATACATTGTCTACACCGGTATCTTCCCATGTTCATGTCACGCAGTACACATAGTATGCGTAGAGTCTGCTGCCGTCGTTTTTATATTGTCGCCTTGGCTTTTGCGCGCGGCCGCCGCCAGTTTCTTTGTAACATGTACTTAGGGTCTGGGGCGTTGGCCGCGAGATTTGGTGACCACTCTGCATAGTTTGTATGTTTTTCGTCGCCGCCGCGGAAATTCGGGTGAATATTTCTGGTGAGATCATCTTCATCATCATCAGCAGCATCATCATCGTCATCATCACCAGCATCGCCATCATCATCATCATCATCATCATCATCATCATCATCATCATCATCATCATCATCATCATCATCATCATCATCATCATCATCATCATCATCATCATCATCATCGTGATCATTACCATCATCATTATCATCAGCATCATTATCATCATCATCAGCATCATCATCATCATCGTCATCATCATCAGCATCATCATCATCAGCATCATCATCATCGTCATCATCATCGTCATCGGTATCATCATCGTCATCGCCATCGCCATCGCCATTGCCACCGGCTGGGTGTGCAGCTGGCTCTGGCGCGACCCGCCCCTGCTCGGCCGCGGCCGCTCGGTGCCGCTCCTCGGGCGGAGGCCTCGAGCGTCTGCTGCCGCGGGGGGGGGGGGGGGCGTTCGGGCGGGCCGCCCGCCCGCGGCCCGCTCAGGAGGCCTTCGTCGCGCCCGAGGGCGGCGCCGCCCGGTCGGTGCACCGGCAATGCAGGCGGGAGGGCACGACCGCCCCGCCCTCGCCTCCCGCGGGCCGCCCCCCCTCCCCTCCTCGCCCTCCGCCTCGCCCGCCTCGCCCGCCTCGCCTCAGCCTCCCCCATCTTCGCCCTCCTCGCCGTCTCCGCCCTCCCTCGTCCCTCCTCGCCCTCTGCGCCCCTCCCCGCCCTCGCCCGCCCTCGCCCTCGCCGCCCTCCTCGCCCGCCCTCGTCCAACTGGCCCTCATCGCCCTCCTCGCCCTCGACCTCCTCGCCCTCCTCGCCCGCCCCTCCTCGCCCCTCCTCGCCCTCATCGCCCTCCTCGCCCTCGTTCTCCTCGCCCCTCCTCGCCCGCCCCTTCTCGCCCTCGACCACCCCGCCCTCCTCGTCCCCCCGCTTTGCCATCGTCCTTTTGGCCCTCCTCTTTTTGGCGATGGTCAGGCTTTGAGCGAAGCTCGTAGCGTCGTAAACTCATGGCCCTCCTCCTTCTCCTCCTTCCAGCCGTGCCGCCGTGTTGCGGCGGAGCCCTGTGTGTGTGTTTGTATGTGTGTGTGTGTGTGTTTGTGTGTGTGCGTGTGTGTGTGTGTGTTTTTGTGTGTGTGCGTGCGTGCGTGCGTGCGTGCGTGCGTGCGTTTGTGTTTGGGTTTGTGTTTGTGTTTGTGTTTGTGCTTGTGCTTGTGCTTGTGCTTGTGCTTGTGCTTGTCCTTGTGCTTGTGCTTGTGCTTGTGCTTGTGCTTGTGCTTGTGCTTGTGTTTGTGTTTGTGCTTGTGTTTTTGTGTGTGTGTGTGTGCGTGCGTGCGTGCGTGCGTGCGTGTGTGTGTGTGTGTTTTGTGTTTGCAGCCTGCTTGAGGCCGTTTCCCGAGCAGGCACCCAGGGAGACCTTAGCTAAAACATGTGTTGATTACGTCAGGGTGACCTCGATCCCTCTCGCACGCGGTTGTCGCGATCGTCGGGCCTCGCTTGTGGCTAGCCTCTCCCCCTGGGGGGATCGCGGATGTGGCGGCGGGCCCAGCAGGTGCGCAGCCTCATAGGTGTGCTGCATCAGCACCGTGGGCGCCCATGCTTCCGAATTCGTGCGCTCAAAGGGCAGCGAGGCCTGTTCCATCGCAGTGGCAGCGCCATGGTGGCGCACCGGTGCTGCCGCTGTCCGTCGTCGCGGTGATACGGCTCCAGGCGGATTTCGTACATGCGTCCCATGGGTCCTCGGCTTCCTCCTGCTCCCCCTCCCCCAGCCCCCATCCCACATGCCCTTCGTCAGCCTCGGGGGAGTCTTTTTCGCTCACCGCCAAGGTTGGGCCCCCCCCACCCTTCCCTCTCCCCCCTCCCGCCGACCCCCCCCCGCCGACACGCATGTGTGAGCGGGGAAGGCTCACTCACGGATGCGAGCCACCTGGCTTGCAGGCCTCTGGGGGGTGGTTTTGTTTTGGGCCATGCGGCCAGGAATTTCTGCGCAGCTTGTCGCTCCACCGGTTCTGGCCCACCACGCTTCGGCGCCGCGTCCCAAGTCCCACGCATCAACGTCCCGAGCCCTTCCCAGCATCCCGCCCAGCGGAGCGGACCGACGCGCTATCAGCTCGCACGGCCCAGCGCGTCGCCCGTGCCGCCGACGCGACGCCCTAAGCAGAAGTCCCTGACCGTTTGCCAACTCGCACCCTGTGCCCACCACTGTGGTCGTGGGGATTCCGGGGTCCCCGACCTGAGCAGGCGGGAGGCTTGGCGCAGCGCGCCTGGGAGCGTGTCGTTATGTGAAGGCGCAACCCGGCTGCTTTCTGACCTGGATGCCTCGCACCTTGCGCCCCGCACTGTGGCCGACGGGGTTCCTCAGGGTCCCAGGCCCGGAGGGCAGGCGGGAAGTTTGGCGCAGCATGCCGGGGAGCGTGTCGTCATGTGAAGGCGCAGCTCGGCTGTCTTCTGACCTGTAGACGCCGCCCACGTCAGATACGAAAGAGTGAGAGCGTAACCGGGCTGCTTCGGATTTAGATGCCGCCCACGTTGGAGGCAAAACGTGTGGAGGAGGACGAGAAAATACGTGCCTTCCGTCGCCAAGCCCATGGGCGGTTGCCGTGATGCCCCCCCTCCGCTCCAGTTCCTCTTGTCTTGCCTTCGCCCGCGTGAGAGTCCGTCGTGTGTAGTTTTGTCTTCGTTCTCAGTCGAACGCGGAGCCAATCGAATTGCCGAGACTTGAGGTAATGTCTATAGCCTTCCTGGCAGAATGCTGCTGTTGCGCGTTGGATTTGACGTGAGGGCTCCACCGTGTGCGATAGTGTTCCCTTCCCCTTCCCCTCCACCTCCCCTTCCCCCCCTCCACCCGTCCGCTTCATCCATCCCCTTCCTTCGCCCTCCAGAGCCCCCCCCCCTCCCCTCCTGAGCCCTCCTCAGCCCTTCTCCTCCGCTGCCCCTCCTGCCCTCTTCCTGTCCTTCCCTCCCCCCCTCCGTTCAGGAGCGAAAGAAGGACGTACGCGTACATGAGTCCACGCTGGTTTCGAGAGTACGCATTGCGCGAATGTTCGTGTCATGCGGCCGGTCTCGCGGATCGAGGGGCCGTGCTCATGTGCACAGTTGGGCGCGTACGTCCTTTCTGGGCTCCCTATCCGTCCTCCCCCGCAGACCTCCCCCCCCAGGTCCTCGCTCCCGGGCTTCGCGGGGGCGCTCCCCTCGGTGCGGAGCCCGCTCCCTCGTGGGTGAAGCGTGCCCAGCACCCGATTCCCACTCGGGCCTCCACGGGCGCAGGGCACGAAGGATGCCGTGGACGGAGCACTCGGCGCGAACATCTCGGAGGTTTTGGCGGGCCTCCTGCCTCAGGCACGTCGATGAAGGAATCGGTCGTTTTCGGTTCGCGAGAGGGCGTCGCGGCCGTCATTTTTGCGGGTCCAGGTCCGTCGGTTTCGGCCCCGGGCCGTTTTCACTAAGGGGAGGTTTGCTAGAGGGAGGTTTGTCCACCGCCGAAACATGGTGCATACCTTTGGAATTTCCAGTTCAAGCCCGCGAGTTCCAAGCTGGGCACGATCTTCGGCTGCCGCCGGACATGTAAAACATACACGCGAACCACGAGTGCAGGTTTTCCGGCCCGAGATCGTCGTGGGCTGGACTGCGCTCAATATTTTGGAACGGCGGAATTCCAGCTTTTTACATCCACTGTAGTGTATGACCTTAGACCGTCGGGCAGGTGGTAAGGGGGGGTGGCCCAAGTTGGGGGTGAAGAAGGCGCCCTAAAGAGCCCCTTTGGGGCCCCTTTCTTCACCCTCCACATTCGGCGGCGAGCGAGGGGGGGAAATGAGAAGGAGAATGCCTTCTCAGAAGGCGGCGGGACTTCTCAGAAGCTCTCGCGCCTTCTGAGAAGGTTGTTCTGTCTCGGAGAAGGCTTAGAAAACTTGCCAGAAGGCTGGGGGCCTTCCGAGCCTGAGAAGGCTCTCTCCTTCTCACTTCTTCCCCCCTCGCTCGCCGCCGAGCCATGCTGGGTCATCCCTCAGAACCGCCTGCCCGAGACAGGCCCACCTCCCCCCGTCCTCCCCCCCCCCGCGCAGACGCACAGATGACTCGGGCCCTGGGCCGGTCGCTGGCGCGGTCCCGGCCGTCTTGGGGTCAGCGTCTGCCGATCCCCGCGGTCGGCGACCACCGATCACAGGCGCACCGTGAGAGTCGGGAGCGCCCGAAAAAGGGGGGATTGATGGCCAGAGGGGGGGCGGGGGCAGCATGGGGGAGGGGGATTGCCAGGGGGGATTGATGGCCAGGAAGGAGGGCCAGGGGGGATTGATGGCCAGCGGAGGGGGGTGATGACCCGGGGGGGGGGATCGCATGGCGAAGGGCCAGGAGACCTCCCGAGATCCCATGGCCCCGCTCCTGGCTCCAGTGCGCCCCCTGGCCCCCCCCCGTCGTCCGCGCACGTGCCTCGGGCCATGACTTGCGAGCCCCTCCCCCTGGGGACGCCCCCGAGAGGAGGGGGTCCCGAGGGAAGCGGGTCCGGAGCTCCGTCGCCGTTCTCGGCCCCCCCCGCGGCCCCCCAGGGTCCCTCGGCGAAGAGGGGTCCCGGGGGGAAGCAGGCCCAGAGGTATGTCGCCGTCTTCGGCTTCCTGGACCCCCCCCCCACCCCCCCCAGATCCCCGGGGCCGTCCGAAGCACAAACTTGGGGGGCCCTCCCGAGTTCGAGGACCCGCGTCCACCGCCTGGACCCCCTTTTCCCTCCTGCCGAGCGATCGGCGACTACCGATCAGAAGCGGTCGGGTGGCCACGGCGATCGCGATCGGCCAGCGATTGCTGTGGCGAGCACGGCGAGCGGCAGCGTGGTCAGAGGTGCGATCCGATGGCGCCGTTGGCCCCTGGCTTTCGGGCCATAACTCGGCTCTCCAGTGGTCGTTCGGGACGACTTGGGCATTCCAGGACGCCTCTCGGCGAGGCGCAGCTGCTGGAAAGCGCCTCGAACACCCCGCGAAGAAGTTCTTTGATACCCCCTTGCGGAGCATATGTTGGTCCCCTCTTGCGTGTCTGGACGTGCTTGTACAGCTCGTGTCTTGTGCCAGCCAGAAGTCGGCCGCATTCCGCATCTCGCTCCTCGGTCCTCGCTCTCCCTCTCTTTTACCACCTCCTCCTCCTCCTCCTCGTCCTCCGCCTCTTCCTCCTCCTCTTCCTCCTCCTCATCATCATCAGCATCAGCATCAGCATCATCATCATCATCATCATCATCATCATCATCATCATCATCATCATCATCATCATCATCATCATCATCATCATCATCATCATCTTGCTCCTCCTCCTGCTCCTCCTGCTCCTCCTGCTCCTCCTCCTGCTCCTGCTCCTCCTCCTCATCCTCTTCCTCATCATCATCAGCATCAGCATCAGCATCAGCATCAGCATCATCATCATCATCATCATCATCATCATCATCATCATCATCATCATCATCATCATCATCATCATCATCATCATCATCATCATTGTCGTCCTGTTTTAGCATGCCGGAGTTCCGTGCCCATCAGTTGGGAAGCTGTCAATTTCCTTGCGGGCCTTCAAAAGTTATCCTGGCACGGGGCCCAGCCATTTGCAGGTGCGAGTGCCGCGGGGCAGGTAGGACGAAGGAGGGGGAGATCCCTACGGGGCCACGAGACGTGTGAGGGGGGTGCCAACATGGGCCTGGGGACACATGCGGGCCCTACAACTTGGCCATTCGGTGGAGCGCCCTACGCGGCCACGAAACGTGTGAGGGGTGTGCCGACATGGGCCTGTGAACGCATGCGGGCCCTGCCGCTTGCATGCGGGCCCTGCCACTGGCCTTCGGTGCAACGGCCCATGGGGCCACGAAGCGTGTCAGTGGTGTGCCGAATTGGGCGTGGGCACGCATGCGGGTCCTGCCGCTGGGCCTTCGGTGGAACGCCTTGTGGGGCCACGAAGCGTGTGAGCGGTGTGCCGGCATGGGGCTGCGGACGCATGCGGACCCTGCCACTTGGCCCTTCGGTGGAATGTCCTATGTGGTCACGAAGAGTTTGAGGGGTGTGTCGAAATTGGCCTGGGGACGCACTCGGGCCCTGCCACTGGAGCATTCGGTGGAGCTCCCTCTGGGGCGTGCCGAGAAATGGGCTTTGGGACGCATGCGGACGTGCCGCTGAGGGCTTCGGTGGATTTCTGTTTGGGGCCACGAGGCATGTAAGGGGTGTGGAAGTACCGCATAAGGGCTGATGGTAAATAGCAGCGACGACGTTTAGGACACACGGAAGGCAACAGCAGGAGGAGGAGGAGGAAGAGGAGGAGGCTGGAGGTTGGAGGAGGAGGAGGAGGAGGAGGAGGAGGAGGAGGAGAGGAGGAGGGAGGAGGAGGAGGAGGAGGAAGGCGAGGAGGAGGAGGGAAGGAGGAGGGAGGGAGGAAGGAGGAGGAGGAGGAGGAGGGGAGGAGGAGGAGGGGAGGAGGAGGAGGAGGAGGAGGAGGAGGAGGAGGGGGGAGGAGGAAGGAAGGAGGCGGAGGAGAGGGGGAGGAGGAGGAGGAGAAGGAAGAGGAGGAGGAAGGAGGAGGAGGAAGAGAGGAGGAGGAGGAGGAGGAGGAGGAGGAGGAGGAGGAGGAGGAGGAGGACGAGGAGGAGGAGGAGGAGGAGGAGGACGAGGAGGAGGAGGAGGGAGGAGGAGAAATGGTCTTGGGGACGCATGCGGGCCATGCCGCTGAGGGCTTCGGTGGATTTCTGTATGGGGCCGCGAGGCATGTAAGGGGTGTGGAAGTACCACATAAGGGCTGATTGTAGATAGGACATGCGGAAGGCAACAGCAGGAGGAGGAGGAGGACTAAGGATGGAGGAGGAGGAGGAGGAGGAGGAGGAGGAGGAGGGGAGGAGGAGGAGGCAGGAGGAGGAAAGAGGGGAGGAGGAGGAGGAGGAGGAGAGGGAAGGAGGAGGAGGGGGAGGAGGAGGAGGAGGAGGAGAGGGAGGAGGAGGAGGGGGGGAAGAGGAGGAGGAGGAGGAGGAGAGAGGAGGAGGAGGAGGAGGAGGAGGAGGAGGAGGAGGAGGAGGAGGAGGACGAGGAGGACACGCGGCGCTGCGGGTTCAAAACGAGGACCCAGCACCACAGGATGATTGGGCCAGGCGCCGAGGTCCTGAGCGCTGCCGCCGCGCGCCCGGGCGCGCCGGCGCACTTCAGCGTGACGCTGCAGGCGAACGGCGGAGCGCAGCGGTTCAGGCGCCAGGGGGGCGCACAGGGCGCGCAAGCTGCTCAGACTCGCTCCCACATCCTTCCTCTCTCTCTCCCTCCTCCTCCTCCTCCTCCTCCTCCTCCTCCTCCTCCTCCTCCTCCTCCTCCTCCTCCTCCTCCTCCTCCTCCTCCTCCCTCCTCTCTCCCTCTCTCGCAGCGGCGTCTGCCGCTCCCACTCCACCCACAGCGCTGCCGCGCGCTGGCGCGCGCGCGCGGGGGCAGATCCGACCCAGAGGGGGGGCAGGGGGTAGAGAGGGGGGCCTCCTTGCCACCATCCGCGATCCTGAGGCCCTAGATGAGGAGGGGAATGGGGAGAAGCAGCAGAGCCGCTCATGAGGTGCTTGATGTACACACACACATCCTTCCCTACTTCTCTTCCTCCCCCTCCCCCCCCCATCCCCCCTCTGGGGCTTGTCACCTGATAGCCTCCGGGGCCAGCCTGTCACCCGTTGGCCACCCGCCCTCAGGGCTTGTCTCCTGCATCTCCTCATCAGCCAGATAAGATCGATTACACGGCCCGCCTTCTCTTCCCCGTCTTCGCCGTCGCTGCTTGCATTCCCAGAGCGCCAGTATGGGCGCCCCTAACCCCGCCTGCTCCCGTCGCGCGGTTCCCCAGAGCGTTCGAACGGGCGCATTCCGACAGTGGTCCGGAGGGCCAAATGCAGGCCTAGCGATAAAAGCGATCTATTTGTCACTAGCGCCGCTCGATAACGCGCCCCCCAGAGGTGTCGGAACATCTGAGGATAGTGGCAGCATTGACCAAAGGCCCCGTGCAATTGTGACGGAATCGGTGCGCCGCGCCGACACCGTGATATTTGAAGTTTGTGTTTGGGCAGAAGATGGTGTGATTATCAATCCCTGCTGGAGATTCGGCAACTTCATCGCGAGATATGGCCGAAACCTATCATAGGGATTACTGTGACCGATTCCTTCACGAGCAAAACTGTCTATGGACACCCCGCTTCCACATAAGTAGCGCCAGTCACCAAACCAACGGATTTCTGCCTTGCATCTTACTTGGAGGCTGAGGCCTGCCCTTGGCTTAACACTGGATTATGCTTGTTTAACTCTCCTACTTTGGGCTTTGCCTCCTCCTGGCCTTGTCGTGTGGCCTCTCCTTCTGTCCCCCCCTCTCTGTTAATTCAAGCTTCGCGCGGCCCGCTTAGCTTCGACCGGAAGAGGTGCGCTCTCGACCCGCGAATCAAACAAATGTTTAAATCTCCTACATTTCGCAGGTTCGCGGTCTCCAGTATTTCTTCGACGGCCGCCTCATCCTCAGAGTTGGGTTTAGGTACCGTTTCAGCCTATAGCGAGCTTGGTACTCTTGCTCCTTCTTCTCTTTCTTTCCTCCTCCCCGTCCTCACTCCTTCCCCCCTCCTCCTCCTCCTCCTCCTCCTCCTCCTCCTCCTCCTCCTCCTCCTCCTCCTCCTCCTCCTCCCCGTCCTTCTCCTCCTCCTCCCTCGTCCTCCTCCCTCCCTCCTCTTTATCTTTCCCTCTCTCCTCCCTCCTTCTCTCCCTCTCCCCTCCCTCCCTCTCTCCTCCCTCCTTCTCTCCCTCTCTCCTCCCTCCTTCTCTCCCTCTCCCCTCCCCCTCTCTCCTCCCTCCTTCTCTCCCTCTCTCCTCCCTCCCTCTCTCCTCCCTCTCTGTCCCTCTCCCCTCCCTCCTGCTCTCCCTCTCCCTCTCTCTCTCTCTCTCTTCGCCTCTGCTTTTTGTACGGGGTTCCTCTGGAACATAAGGCGGGTGACAGACGTTGTTTTTAAGTCCCCTTTTCAGGTATCCCCCCAGGACGCTGCTGCCGGACATCCGCTTCCCCCACCTTCACCCCGGTGAGGACCATCGTAGGCCTCACCAGTGAGGACCATCATTGGCCTCACACCCCCTGCGGCTGCCATCATAGGGGCCGCTGGGGTCGCCCTCTCCCGCCAGTACACCAATGCACCAACACTTCACGGCGTCAATAGCCAATGGAGGGGGCCGAGGACCTCCCTGCAGCCCCTCGGCCAACGAAGACGGCTGCAGGGAGGGGTCCAAACGTACCTCCACATTCATGCACCAGTCAACCAATACACCAGAAAACCAACTCCTCACATTCCTCCATGGGGCCGTGAACGGGATTTATCCCCTGCCGGCTGACGGCGCCTGTCAACGTCAGTAATCTAATACTCTGCGGCGTCAGTTGCCAACCCAGTACACCAGTACACCAAGGGTGGCGGTTCGACCCGTGCCGCCGCGGTGTCACATGTGCCGCCGCGGCGTCACTCATGAGGTCGTTCCCGCGCCCCGCCCCTTAACCGAGCTCTCCATGGACGGGCATGTAAAACCCTCCCAGCCACCTCCGTCTGCCACTTGGGGCGCAGGTGTGCGGCTGGGCCTACTCCCCCCCTCCTCCTCCTACCCCCCCCGCCTTTCTACAAGGATGGGTATAACAGCCGTCCAATCTACACGTCCGGAGCAGCGGCCCTCGCCGAGAGCTGTCCAGGGGCCGCCTTGGATCGCCCCCCCTGTCGCTTTGCTTCGGCTTCAGGTCCCCCGGTCAGGCCCGCTCTCCTCTTTCGTGTTTCCCGTTTCAGGTGCCCTGTCATCCCCTGGCCCTCCTCCCCTCTTCCCTCCCCTTCGCCCCTCCTGCTTCCCCCTCCCTCCCTTCCGCCCTTCCCCCTCCCTTTCCCCCCTCCCCGCCCCCCCCTCCTCCCCCCTCCCCCCCCCGAGCGGATCCGCGTCATTACTTCCCTCCTTCAGGTTTCCCTGCCAGGACCTTTGGATTCCTCCACGGCCGCTGGGGCCGCCCCATCAGCTGCACGCGGGGGGCTGGGAATTTCTACACCCCTGATTGGGGGGTGTGGTCGTGTGCGCGTGTGCGTGCGTGTGTGTGTCTGTGTGTGTGTGTGTGCGTGCGTGCTGCGTGCGTGCGTGCGTGCGTGCGTGCGTGCGTGCGTGCGTGCGTGCTGTGCGTGTGTGTGTGTGTGTGTGTGTGTGTCTCTGTGTGGTGTGTGTCGTGGGTTATGGGTGCATGCCCCTGCGGGTATTCCACCCCATGGGATAAAACCATTAAGCGTTTTCAGATGTACCGATCCATTCATTTTTTGGGGTGTACCGGCCTATCCGCTGTCGTACTTCCGTGCTTATGGGTGTACCGGTCCATCCGTGCTGGCGGAGACAAGCATCGCACATACGGGAATACAGGTTGTGGGTACCTCCGGCCTGTAACCCTTGGAGGCCTCTGGGGGGCCTCCTCTGGTCACCAGGCCTCGGCCGCGTTAACGTCACCACGTTTCGCTTTCGCGCTCCAGGTGGTGCATCCCTGCCGCTGCACGCTCCCGGGGTGTGATGAAGCAGCTCCGATGCCAGCTACTTGATGATACGAAATCTGTGTATTTCGTATCTTCCGGATCCGGGGGCCGACCCCCCCGAGGCGTGCACATCTGTCCTCGTCTCTGCCTCTGTCTCTTTCTCCCTCTCTCCCTCTGTCTCTTCTCTCCCTCTCTCTCTTTGCCTCTGTTTTTTGTACGGGGATCCTCTGGAACATAAGGCGGATGACAGACGTTATTTTTAAGTCCCCTTTTCAAGTATCCCCCCAGGACGCTGCTGCCGGACATCCGCTTCGACTTCCTGCCCTCTTCCCCCACCCTCACCCCGGCGAGGACCATCATAGGCCTCACCAGTGAGGACCATCATTGGCCTCACACCCCCTGCGGCTGCCATCATAGGGGCCGCTGGGGTCGCCCTCTCCCACCAGCACACCAATGCACCAACACTTTACGGCGTCAATAGCCAATGGAGGGGCCGAGGACCTCCCTGCAGCCCCTCGGCCAACGAAGACGGCTGCAGGGGGGGGCCCAAACGTACCTCCACCTTCATGCACCAGTCAACCCATACACCAGAAAACCAACTCCTCACATTCCTCCCTCCCTCCCTCCCTCCTCCCTCCTCCTCCTCCTTCTCCTCCTCCTCCTCCTCCTCCTCCTCCTCCTCCTCCTCCTCCTTCTCCTTCTCCTCCTCCTCCCCCTCCTCCTCCTCCTCCTTCTCCTCCTCCCCCCCTCCACAGGTAATAGGAACCTGTTCCGAGGCCACGCAGTCTGGAAGACAGGCCCGTTTGTTTTCTGTTTTAACAGCGGGAGTTTCTCGTCGCTCACGTTGCGGGGCTTGGCCGAAATCTGTAAGTCCACACCTGCAGATAAGAGTGCTAGGACCGGTAGGAACCGCCTGCGACAGGGCAGGCATCCCAGGGAGAGTGAGCACTATGCAGATCCGAGAGAGCTTCGCACGGAGGAGGTCCGCAGGTTCGAGGCCGACCTGGGACCCCCGTGCCTGCTCCCGATGCTGCTGCTGCTGCTCCTCCCCTGGCCTAGTAATCTTCTCCTCGGGCTGCGTGCGCCTGCCACTGCTGACCCGCCTCGCCGCCCATTCCGCCCATTCCCCCCATCCCCTTTACTCCCTCCTCCTCGCCCCTCTTCCCTCCTTTTGCTTCCCCTCCTCTCTCCCCATTTCTCCTCAGTTCTTCTCCTCCTATCTCCTTTTCCTCCCTCCTCTTCCTTCAGGTGCCCAGAGGACGTGTACGTCATGGGAGAGGACACCAAGAAGGGGCACTTGAGACAACGGCGACCCCCGAGTGAGGAGGAGGAGGAGGAGGAGGGGGGCAAATGCGAAGTGGGATGAAACAGAGGGCCGAGGGCAGTGGTGGATAATGATGATTATGATGATGGTGATGATGACGATGATGATAGTGAAGCTGGTGATGATTATGATGACGATGCTGACGATGATGACGCCGACGAAGACGGCGACGAGTACGATGACGCTGGCACTGACGACGACGATGATGACGACGACGACAATGATGATGCTGCTGCTGATGATGATGATGATGATACTGATTATGATGCTGATGCTGATGATGATGACGACGATGATGATAACGATGATGATGATGATGATGATGATGATGATGATGATGATGATGATGCTGCTGGTGATGATTTTGATGATGATGCTGATGGTGGTGGTGGTGATGATGACGACGACGATGATGATGATAATGATAATGCTGATGCTGCTGCCGATGCTGATGCTGATGACGACGATGACGATGATGACTACGACGACGACGACGATGATGATGATGAGGAAGATGATGGTGGTGGTTGTGGTGATTATGATGGCGATCCTGATGATGATGATGATAATGATAATGATGATGATGCTGATGCTGCTGCTGCTGCTGATGATGATGATGATGGTAAGGACGCTGACAATGACGACGATGATGATGGTGATGCTGATAATGACGGCGATTTCGATGCTGATGATGCTGCTGATGGTGATGACGATGATGGTAAAGACGATGACGATGAGGATCACGATGCTGATGATGCTGGTGATGATGATGTTGATGATGATGATGCTGATGGTGGTGGTGGTGATTATGACGACGATGATGATTAGAATGCTAATGCTGCTGCCGATGCTGATGCTGATGATGACGATGACGATGATGACGACGGCGATGACGACGATGATGATGATGACGAGGATGATGGCGGTGGTTGTGGTGATTATGATGACGATGCTGATGAGGATGATGCTAATTATGATGCTGCTGATGATGATGATGATGATGATGACGATGCTGATGATGATGCTAAGGACGATGACGATGACGACGATGATGATGATGATGGTGATGCTGATAATGATGGCGATTTTGATGCTGATGATGATGTGTTTGATGATGATGCTGGTGGTGGTGATCATCATTATGACGGTGATGGTGATGATATCCGTTGTGATGATGGTGGTGAAGGTGATTGTGATATGATGCTGATAACGGTTCCAGAATGTTGGTGATGATGCTGATGTTGATGATGAGGAAGATGAGAATGATAATGATGATGATGATGATGATGATGATGATGATGATGATGATGATGATGGCGGTGGTGATTTCGATGATGAGGATGACGATGCTGATGATGGTGGTGGTGATAGTGGTGTTAATAATGATGATGGCGATGGTGCTGGTGATGGTGACAATGACGCTGACGATGATAAAGATGATGATGGTGGTGATGATGATGCTGATGATCATGATGTTGCTGATGGTGGTCGTGGTGATGGTAATGGATGATGATGGTGATGATAGTGATGCTGATTGTGGTTGTCGTGATGGTAATGGATGATGATTATGCTGATGATGATGATGATGATGGTTGTGGTGTTGAGAATGGCGAGGAGGAAGAGGATGAGGATGAGGGCGAGGATGAGGATGATGATGAGTATGATGATAACAATGACGATGACAATGACAATGATGATCATGCTGTTGATGATGATGCTGCTGATGACGACAATGATGATGGTGGTCGTGATTTTGATGATGATGATTATGATGTTTACCATGGTGATGCTGCTGATGATGGTAAGGACGCTGACAATGACGACGATGATGATGATGACGACGACGATGATGACGATGATGATGATGATAATGATGATGATGGCGATGATGATGATGATGATGATGATGATGATGATGATGATGATGATGGTGATGATGATGATGATGATGATGATGATGATGATGATGATGATGGTGATGGTGACGGTGATGGTGATGGTGATGGTGATGGTGATGGTGATGGTGATGGTGATGGTGGTGATTATGGTGTTGCTGATGGTGGTCAGTGTGATGATCATTATGGTGGCGATGATGAAGGCGGCAGTGGTGGTAACGGTAATGATGGTGGTTGCAGTGGTGATGGTGATAATGCTGATGATGCTGAAGAGGAGGAGGAGGAGGAGGAGGAGGAGGAGGAGGAGGAGGAGGAGGAGCACCAGCAGGAGGAGGAGGAGGAGGGAGGAGGAGGAGGAGGAGGAGGAGGAGGAGGAGGAGGAGGAGGAGGAGGAGGAGGGGGGGGAGGAAAAGGCGGAGTTAGAAGGAAAACAAAGGGGAGGGGAGGGAGGGAGGGAGGCGGGGAGGGGGGGAGCAGCGACACGGGCGGCGGGGGTTGTGCGCAGGGGCGCCGATGTCCCGGCCCAGCCTCCCCCGAAGGATGGCGTGGAGCTTCCGGGCTCATGCCGGGCGGGCAGCTGCAGCAGCTGCGACGGCGAGGCCGCCCCCTCGGAGGGACCCCTCTGGGGCGAGCGGGTGGGCGGAGGGCCTCGGCCTGGGGCGCAGGAGGAGGTGGTTAAGATAAGACCGATCGCGAAGCGAGTTCAATATTAATTCGGAGGATCTAGCCGCCTTCTCAGCTTTGCTGAGAGCTTTGGGCAGAAGACCTCGAGAAATACGGTCGAGATAACCTTGCCGTACTTTGGTAAGTGGGGCTCTTGAGGGGGGGCCTTACATTCATCAGCCAAACCACGTAGCTGCTGATGATGGTAGCACCCACACGCCGCACAATACCACAGAGACAGGGATTCATGATAATGAATTTGGTGAGACCCATGGACCCACCCTCTGCGAGATGCAGACGCTTCCCCCGAGGAACCCTCAAGACCCCTGAGGACTGGTGCTCAAGCTGGAAACATGCCGATTCGAAAAACTCCTTCTTCGCAGCCACAGCCCTGGATCCCTTAGAAGCCAAGCATTTTTTCCACACTCCGATACGCGATGGGCAGTGCAAAAAAGGGCCACCGTGGCAGGCGCAGGAGGTGAGACCCTGGGAGGCACACGGGGCCTTCGGGGAGCATTCTTTTTTCCCGGAAAGGGCATAGGCCCAGGGTTCTCTTTTCCTATGTAAACATGTCCCCGGTGCCCAACTTGAAGGAGGCTGGCGGATTCTTTCCCTGATAAATATCGAGGTCGAAGGAGGCCGGCGGATTAAAATTTGAGGATGTCTCAGGCGAAACGCTTGTTTTTGAAATCCCGATCGATAAATCACAGGGTGCGGGACACCTCAGCACGACCACACCCCCAGCATGACCACACCCACGACCACGCCCAGCACGACCACGCCCCAGCACGACCACACCCCAGCACGACCACACCCCAGCACGACCACACCCCAGCACGACCACACCCCAGCACGACCACACCCCAGCACCAGCACGACCACACCCCAGCACGACCCGATCGATAAATCACAGGGTGCGGACCACCCCAGCACGACCACACCCCAGCACGACCCCACCCCAGCACGACCCCACCCCAGCACGACCACGCCCCAGCACGACCACACCCCAGCACGACCACACCCCAGCACGACCCCACCCCAGCACGACCCCACCCTAGCACGACCACACCCCAGCACGACCACACCCCAGCACGACCACACCCCAGAACGACCACACCCCAGCACGACCCCACCCAAGCACGACCCCACCCCAGCACGACCATACCAGCACGACCACACCCCAGCACGACCCCACCCCAGCAAGACCACACCCCAGCACGACCACACCCCAGCACGACCTCACCACAGCACGACCACACCCCAGCACGACCACGCCCCAGCACGACCACGCCCCAGCACGACCACGCCCCAGCACGACCACCCCCCAGCACGACCACCCCCCCAGCACGACCACCCCCCAGCACGACCACCCCCCAGCACGACCACACCCCAGCACGACCACTCCCCAGCACGACCACACCGCCTTGGTTGAGTGGTTGCCTGTCGTCGTGGAATGTTTCGTGGGGTGTCTCGTGGAATGTTTCGCGGGGTGTCTCGTGGAATGTTTCGTGAGGTGTCTCGTGGAATGTTTCGTGAGGTGTCTCGTGGGATGTTTCGTGAAGTGTCTCGTGGGATGTTTCGTGAGGTGTTGCCCAGTTGGGTATCGTGAAAACGTGTCCATGCTCTACATGTCTATATCCCTTTCCGGGTTCGTGGGTCCATCATGTTTCATCAAGTGCAGCGGATTCGAGCGTAGCTCGGAGCAACTGTTGACGGATGAGACGGGCCTCGTGCTCAATCTGCAAAACACGGGCACGCTGGTCCTGCGGGACTCGTGCTCGTGAGGCCGCCTCTCCCGCCAGGTGGTAAACGAAAACGTTGCCAGCAATGAGGTGGCCCGCAAGGCCACGACTGACGACCTCCTCGCCCGAGACATGAGACGGCACCTTGATCACTGCAATATGGCACGGCAGCCTGTGGTGCTGCTGAAGAACTGACCCGAATTCACGCCACAGGTCTGAGTTGAAACCCTGCGGAGAAAGGTAGAGGCGTTCCCACCATCCTCTACAGACCACTTCATTGTCTGTAACAAAGATCATGACACCTGCGGACCATCTAAAACCTAGGAGAAAAACCAGCAGCTCGCCCCTCGGGACGGTTTGGCGCACTCCTGGGAGCGGTCCAAAAACAAAACGTGAATCTGGTCCAGGGATCCCCCGACAGCAGACACCGCTAACCTTAACCGACGAAGTCGAGGATCATGTGTGTCGCTGCCGCCTGAGGCATCACCATGAAGCAGAATGGGTGCGGACTCGACGCCCTCGCCGAAGAAGTTCTGGTCGAGGTCGCTTTTGTGACTGACCGTCCAGCTCTCCTCGTGCGCGGGTGGGTCTACAGCCGTGAGATGTGAGGGGATGAGCCCTCGATGCCAATCGCACTCCATGCTGTCACCTTGAGCCAGCGCTTTGTGGCATAACTTCTGGGACACACCAAAAGCTGGTGATCCGTGGTTACACCTGCAGGTCCAGAAACGATGCTTTGGCGTCTCTGGTCCATCACCACAGCGCGCACACTGCGATGGAATATGACAACCTGCTTCGGCCTTGCGGGAAGCCGCCCAGGCCCCGCCGACGGCAATCGTGAGCAAGAGGTGAGACAGCTTTCGACCGATCCTGGCGATCTGCTCCAACTGGTACAACTGTTTTCTTAGACTGAAATTGTCACCTCCAGCCTCCATACCTCATCCGCAAAATGTTGAAACTGCAGCGTGCTGCCACTGTTTCTGCTGAATGGACTTGGTGAAAGCGCGAGGAGCTCCACGGCCTGATCACTGGCCTGGAACTCGGTTCCTGCAGAATTCCACCCAGCATGGTGCCCTGCTGCATCGGCTGCTTGATACCACAACGTTCTGCACCAGGAGCCCTGATATCCAATAAGGTAGTAAGGCGCCGACCTCGCCCGTGGCCTCCTGTGACGGCGCCGTGGCGCCGACGAAGGTGAATCAGCGAAGTCGTGAGAAGCCCATGTATCTGATGTCCGTATCGTGCTCCTGCCTGGGGGCCTGACAGCTCCACCTTCTGCAAGACCTTAAACCGCTTGGACGCGAAGGCGAACTTACGAAATCTAACATCTTGCATGAGAGTCGTGGCGAATCTTTCCCGGCGCGTCGCTCGCCCATGCCTCTTGCCACCAGGTAGGTCGATGCCGAGGTGAGAGGTCTGAGGGGCTGCAACCGCTGAGATGCCGCGGGCCTTCAACCGCTTCTGAATACTACGAGTGTCTCACATATCCGAGCAAGTGCTGGTGCTCTTCTTCGCCAGCTGAAGGGAAAACTCGGCGAGCAGATCGTTCGCGGTCGCGATGCCCTCCACCAAATCGTTGCGAATAGAGGGCCTCGACCCCGCGGCTGTCTGGGAGAGATCAGCAATCCAGAGTCGCTATGGCAGCCGTGGGTGGCAAACTGCGAGGCGCGCCATCGCCATGTTGGTGGCCACTTGTGCAAACCTCGTGCCGCTCCTGAGTCATTGAATCATGCTGCGCGTGCTCTGAGATAGACATGAGACTGCGTCGCCATGGTCTAAAAGGCAAGGTCCTGCACAAGTTTGCAGTTCGAGCCCCAGCATATAGGAGGAAGCCCATAGCGAATTGCCCCTTCAACAAGTACTGACCTTTCCATTTCACCGTAGAAAGATTGAATATCTAATAATCCGTGCCCATGTGAGGCCTTCATCTTCGTGAACAGTTCCTCGTCGAGGGCTCTCAGGTAAGCCTCGCGCAGGGCGGAATTACCCGCAATCGCAGCCCCACAATCTGGCTGCCCCGCGCTGGCCCATTCTTGGATGAGAGGTTCTCCTGGGAGTGACCAAATTCTGCAGATCATACGTATGAGGCCGATCACACGGTTGCCCGAACTCTTCCTGGGCAACAACCGTCCTAGCATTGGCATACGTTGCCAGGGCCATGTCTGGCATTGTTCACACATGGTGCATAGCACAGCAAGTTCGCTGAGTGCTTGCTCGGGCAGCCTCTCGAGGTCGATCGGGGAGACCCGATCAACCCCTCGGCCAGCCCGAGGTTTCATCCGCCGAACAGTTGCACGAATATCCTCCGCCGTGAGTGGCGTCAAGGGCTCAGACGCTGCATGCCACCGTATGCGTTCAAAAAGCCCTCGAACTTCTGGCAGTGTCTGCTTGAATCGCGATGTCCACAAGGAGTGCCAGTGAGCTGCCTCGTGATCCACAATATCCTTGGGATGGAAAGTGGCGTGGAAATTGTCGCCTTGATCCGAATTGGCCGAAGCTGGAAACTCCAGGTCGGCAAGAGGTGAATCTCTCGTAGTCCGAAATATGGCGCCCGTGTTCTCCCGCTCCCCTATCCAACCCTTGAAACCAGCAAACGAAGCCGAACTCGCATGGCTACGAGCTCGTTGCGCCACCTTCTTGGCCTCACTAGCGTAGATGTCCAGATGCTGGTACGGAATGCCCCTAAGCTCGACAAGAACTGTGAGCCATGACGTCCACGTGGTAGCTTCTGAAGACCTGCCAACCGACTTACACGCGCAGCCAGGCGGCTGCCCAGCCAATTTGGCCCCCGCCACGGCGAGAGCTTCAGACTGACTGAGCCCGTTCCCACGCCGCTTGTGTTGAGACAACTTATGCAGTGCCACCTGCACACGCCCCACCAGTTGGCTGCGACATTCCGCAAGGCCATATCTCGATAGAGTTCACTTTGTCTCACGCGCTGTGATTGACTGACCTGGGGCCCTGAGCTCGAGTCGGCTTGTCAGAGGGGTCCAGGCCGCGGTGAACTTGGCACAAGTATTCCACACTGCTGATCCACGCTGCATGTGCACTGCTGACGTGAAGGACGTGGGGCCCTCCAACCTTGAACGCGAGCGATGCCCTCACTGGCCCCCCAAACCTGTGAAATGGCTTGAGGACAATAACCTGCCTGAGCACGAGCCAACGGCCACATGTGCGAGGGGAGAGCGAAAGCA